GGCCCCGCCCCTTTGCAGCTTTAACGCTTCAACTCTTCTGGGGAAGGCAGTCCACAAGGTTTAGGAGGGTGTCTATGGATATAGTAAGGTTAGGAAGGGGCCATCCCCAAACTCAGAGAAGCGTGATTGGTCACTCCAGAGAACACATCTACGCTGCTCTAGAGTCCAGTGACGGCGTGCTTTACACCATGGCATCCGCAGCTTTGCATTGCACTTGGTGATGGAAGGCTTGGATGCAGCTGCTCGGCCATGGAAACCCATTCCATGAAGCTCTCTACACACTGTTGTTGGGCTCATCTGAAGGCCACACCAAGTTTGGAGGTCTTTAGCTATTGACTCTGCGGACAGTTGGTGACTTCTGCGCACTGTCCGCTTCAGCATGCGCTGACCCCGCCCTGTCATGTGACGTGGCCTACCACTTGGTGGCTGAGTGGCTGTTGTTCCCAGTTGCTTCCACTTTGCTAAAATCCCACTAACAGTTCAGCGTGGAATATTTAGTAGCCAGGAAATGTCACGGATGGACTTATTGCCCAGGTGGCCACCTATCACGGGACCACGCTTGGAGTCACTGAGCTCCTGAGAGCGACCCATTCTTTCACCAATGTTTGTAGAAGCCGTCTGCATGCCTAGGGGCTTGATTGTATACACCTGTGTCCATGGAGGGGATTGGAACACCTGAATCACATGATATGGAGGGGATTGGAACACCTGAATCACATGATTTGGAGGGGATTAGAACACCTGAATCCCATGATTTGGAGGGGATTCATCACATGATTTGGAGGGTGGGAAAAATACTCTTGGCAATATAATGTATGTATCTATATCAGAAGATATACATCCACTTTGTTCGCACAAACAACATTTCCATTCACATACCTTCCAACTTTTTGAGAAGGGAATGAGGAACACCTATTACCAAACGTTTGTAGCCATAGGACACACCCACTGCCACACCCTCTTAAAGAAGAATAATACAAAAAAATGATTAGTTAAACCCACAAGTGCTTTTTTCTTACCGCTATTATTCCTTTATACTGCCTTTTGAAATTTACAAATGCAGCAATTTAGAAATTGGATGACAGATTTAGCGCTGGGAAACACTTTTTGAAAGATAAAAAGTGCATTTTATATACAACTATATGAATCAGACCAAAATGAGGGACAAATGAGGAGGAAAGAGGGACTTTTTTCCAAATTAGGGACAGTTCCTCGCATCTGGGGCAGTTGGGAGCTATGCATCCCCAGATATTAACATTTCAAAGTAGCAGCGACATCATCACTGTGCTGTACATAGCCTGTGCAGAAAGCAAAGTTGTGGGAGGGGCCCAGCAGGCTCCACCCACTACAGAAAAAAACTACAGTATGGGGCAGAGACAAGATCAGTCAACCTACACAAGAAGAGAGAGCAAAGCTGTGGGAGTGGCACACCAGGCTCCACCCACTACAGAAACCTACAGGATAGGGGTGGAGACCAGATCAGTCACCCTGTACAAGAAGAGAGCAGTGGGAGGGGCCCAATAGGCTCCACCCACTACAGAAACCTACAGGATAGGGGTGGAGACCAGATCAGTCACCCTGTACAAGAAGAGAGAGCAAAGCTGTGGGAGTGGCACACCAAGCTCCACCCACTACAGAAAACCTACAGGATAGGGGTGGAGACCAGATCAGTCACCCTGTACAAGAAGAGAGCAGTGGGAGGGGCCCAATAGGCTCCACCCACTACAGAAAATTACAGGATAAGGGTGGAGACAAGATCAGTCACCATGTACAAGAAGAGAGAGCAGAGATGTGGGAGGGGCCCAGCAGGCTCCGCCCACTACAGGAAGGGGGCAGAGACAAGACCAGTCACCCTGGCCAAGGAGAGAGAGCAACAGTGAACGGTCTTAAAGTGGAGCTCTGAGTTGTGGGAAGGGCCCAGCAGGCTCCACCCACTACAGAAAACTACAGGAAGGGGGCGGAGACAAGATCAGTCACCCTGCACATGGAGGGAGAGCAGAGCTGTGAGAAGGGCCCAGCAGACGCCACCCACTACAGGAAGGGGGCAGAGACAAGACCAGTCACCCTGCATAAGGAGACAGAGCAGCAGTGAGCGGTCTTAAAGTGGAGCTCTGGGCTCCCCCCAAAAAAAATGTAAAAGTCAGCATCTACAAATACTGTAGCTGCTAACTTTTAATAAAGGGCACTTACCTGTCCCGGGGGTCCAGCGACATCCTCACCCAAGCCGATTCTCCAATCGGCCTTGGGTGCTGAAGCCACCATCTTGACTAAGGGAAACCGACAGTCACAGGGGGCCTCCTACTGCGCATGCGTGAAAGCTCACTGCGCTATGTGAATCGGGCCGCAGTCTTCTGGGACCTGTAAAGTGTCCCAGAAGGCTTTGGGGGTGGGGGAAAGGTGGGGGAAACGTCTGGCTCAGATAGCTGCAGCGATCTGACCCAAAAGTGGGAGCGGGTACCTGTTAAAACCAGGTACCTGCCTCCCCCCAAAAAAAAGTGCCAAATGTGGCAATGGAGAGGGGGGAGGAAGCACACAAGAGGAGCGTCCTCTTTTGGGTGGAGTTCCGCTTTAATTACAGGAAGTCTCACACTGGATTACTGGAAGAAAATGTAGAATAGACTCCCTCCAGAGTTGGGTGTGGCCAGCTCAGTGGATTGCTGTAGGAAAGTCTTGGATTGTTTCTTGGATACACAGAATATAACTGGATATAACATTTATAGGGAAAGTTGATCCAGGGAATATCCGATTGCCTCTCGGGGGATCAGGAAGGAATTTTTTCCCCTGCAGGAGCAAATTGGATCGTGCTTTGCTGGGTTTTTTTGCCTTCCTCTGGATCACCTGTGGGTGTAGGATTATAACTTTTTTTTTTTTATTTGTTTTGTTCCAGTGAAGGGAACTCTTAAGGCGACATTTTGGACAATTTCATGCTCCCAACTTCGTGGGAGGAGTTTGGGGATGGCTCCTTCCTGTTCCAACATGACTGCCCCCCAGTGCACAAAGCAAGGTCCATAAAGACATGGAGGAGCCAGTTTGGGGTGGAGGAACTTGACTGTCCTGCACAGAGTCCTGACCTCAACCCCATAGAACACCTTTGGGATGAATTAGAGCGGAGACTGTGAGCCAGGCCTCCTCCCCCGACATCAGTGCCTGACCTGACAAATGTGCTTCTGGAAGAATGGTCCAACCTTCCCATAGACACCCTCCTAAACCTTGTGGGCAGCCTTCCCAGAAGAGTTGAAGCTGTTATAGCTGCAAAGGGCGGGGCCAACTCAATATTGAACCCTACAGACTAAGACTGGGGGGACATAAAGGTCATGTGCGTGGGAAGGGCGGGGCCAACTCAATATTGAACCCTACGGACTAAGACTGGGGGGGCCATTAAAGTTCATGTGCGTGGAAAGGGCGGGGCCAACTCAATACTGAACCCTACATACTAAGACTGGGGGGCCATTAAAGTTCATGTGCGTGGAAAGGCAGGCGGCCCAATACCTTTGGCAATATAGTGTATAGCCAACTCTGTAGCAGAAGGTTGTAAAGAGTCCGGAGCTATGACTCCCTCCAGAGTTGGTTGTGTCCAGCTCAGTGGATTGCTGTAGTAAAGTCCTGGATTCTTTCTTGGATACACAGAATATAACTGGATATAACATTTATAGGGAAAGTTGATCCAGGGAATATCCGATTGCCTCTCGGGGGATCAGGAAGGAATTTTTTCACCTGCAGGAGCAAATTGGATCGTGCTTTGCTGTTTTTTTTTGCCTTCCTCTGGATCAACTGTGGGTGTAGGATTATAACTTTTTTTTTTTATTGATTTTTTTTTTTTTTTTAAACGGTTGAACTGGATGGACTTTGTCTTTTTTTCAGCCAGACTAACTATGTAACAATGGTGACAAATTTAAAATCATCCTTGTTAAATTTGACCATATTACTAGTAATATAAAAGATACAAGTATGGAGCAGGGTCGGACTGACCATTTGGAAACTCGGGCACTGCCCGTGGGCCCGGGTCAGTAGGGGGCCACATGGGATGCCCCTGGTACCTTTCATAGGCTTTTTTGGGTGTGGTTTGAGTGTGGGCGAGAACACAGGGGCCCCATGATCCCCTATTGTCCGGGGGCCCCATGAGATGCCCCTGGTACCGTTCATAGGCTTTTTTGGGTGTGTGTTTGAGTGTGGGCGAGGACACAGGGGCCCAATAATCCCCTATTGTCCGGGGACCCCATGAGATGCCCCTGGTACTGTTCATAGGCTTTTTTTGGGTGTGGTTCAAGTGTGTGGGCGAGAACACAGGGGCCCCATGATCCCCTATTGTCCGGGGGCCCCATGAGTTGTCAGTCCACCCCTGGTATGGAGTAAACCAATTGCACGGATAACCCCATTTTAATGGTTGAACTGGATGGACTTTTGTCTTTTTTCCCCAATGATCCCCTATTGTCCGGGGGCCCCATGAGATGCCCCTGGTACCGTTCATAGGCTTTTTGGGTGTGGTTTGAGTGTGGGCGAGGACACAGGGGCCCAATAATCCCCTATTGTCCGGGGGCCCCATGAGATGCCTCTGGTACCGTTCATAGGATATTTTGGGTGTGGTTTGAGTGTGGGCGAGGACACAGGGGTTCAATGATCCCCTATTGTCCGGGGGCCCCATGAGATGCCCCTGGTACCGTTCATAGGCTTTTTTGGGTGTGGTTTGAGTGTGGGCGAGAACACGGGCCCCATGATCCCCTATTGTCCGGGGGCCCCATGAGTTGTCAGTCCGCCCCTGGTATGGAGTAAACCAATTGCACGGATAACCCCATTTTAATGGTTGAACTGGATGGACTTTTGTCTTTTTTCCCCAATGATCCCCTATTGTCCGGGGGCCCCATGAGATGCCCCTGGTACCGTTCATAGGCTTTTTTGGGTGTGGTTTGAGTGTGGGCGAGAACACAGGGGCCCCATGATCCCCTATTGTCCGGGGGCCCCATGAGATGCCCCTGGTACCGTTCATAGGCTTTTTTGGGTGTGGTTTGAGTGTGGGCGAGGACACAGGGGCCCAATAATCCCCTATTGTCCGGGGGCCCCATGAGATGCCCCTGGTACCGTTCATAGGCTTTTTTGGGTGTGGTTCGAGTGTGGGCGAGGACACAGGGGCCCCATGATCCCCTATTGTCCGGGGGCCCCATGAGTTGTCAGTCCGCCCCTGGTATGGAGTAAACCAATTGCACGGATAACCCCATTTTAATGGTTGAACTGGATGGACTTTTGTCTTTTTTCCCCAATGATCCCCTATTGTCCGGGGGCCCCATGAGATGCCCCTGGTACCGTTCATAGGATATTTTGGGTGTGGTTTGAGTGTGGGCGAGAACACAGGGGCCCCATGATCCCCTATTGTCCGGGGGCCCCATGAGATGCCTCTGGTACCGTTCATAGGATATTTTGGGTGTGGTTCGAGTGTGGGCGAGGACACAGGGGCCCCATGATCCCCTATTGTCCGGGGGCCCCATGAGTTGTCAGTCCACCCCTGGTATGGAGTAAACCAATTGCACGGATAACCCCATTTTAATGGTTGAACTGGATGGACTTTTGTCTTTTTTTCCCCAATGATCCCCTATTGTGCGGGGGCCCCATGAGATGCCCCTGGTACCGTTCATAGGCTTTTTTGGGTGTGGTTTGAGTGTGGGCGAGAAACACAGGGGCCCCATGATCCCCTATTGTCCGGGGGGGCCCCATGAGATGCCCCTGGTACCGTTCATAGGCTTTTTTGGGTGTGGTTTGAGTGTGGGCGAGGACACAGGGGCCCCATGATCCCCTATTGTCCGGGGGCCCCATGAGTTGTCAGTCCACCCCTGGTATGGAGTAAACCAATTGCATGGATAACCCCATTTTAATGGTTGAACTGGATGGACTTTTGTCTTTTTCAGCCAGACAAACTATGCAAGAATCTGGAAGAAATGCACGAAGACGACACACGACCAATGGATTCAGACCATATTTGCTCATCCTGGAGTTCAGTTTTCAGCTCTGCGGGATGTTTATTATAGCAGGGAAGCCAAAACGCTGCTACTTTATTTTTTATTTTCTAAAAAAAAACGGAATCCATTAGTTTTGCGCGGTATTTCAGGTGAAGATTAGTAAGAGTGCGGAGAAGTAATGAAGGTAAATAGCAGACGATTTTTTTTTTTTTTTAGCCTCCACCGCAGGAAGTATAATGTTCTTTTTGTTTAATTGAATTTCATTTCTGAATGGCCGATATCACAATCTTAATTAAACAGTAAATTATAAATTACTTTGAGAAGAATGGAAAACGATTGTCCAAACTAATAAAAAGCTATATAAAAGTGGCCCCTTAATGAGGTATCTATCTTCATGTCTTTCCTAATGAAAAAATAAGCTCGGCTCTGAAAATCGTCGTGTTTTCCATATTATTACCTTTCATGTGCGCCGCGCATTGTGTCCCTTCATTATTATTCTCTTAAATCCTCGTTTGAAGTGAAGATACTTTTATTTTAAATACGAGGCAACAAAGCCTTCAATAGGCGGGTTCAAGAAAAGGAGAGAGAGAGAGAGAAAAAAATGTTGTAAATGGAAAAAAAAAAAAAAAGAAAAGTCTGTTGGCGAAGCTCGGGGAGGCCTGCCAGAATCATTTTATATGGTTTATTGTGCCCGGGCAATTCAGAGATTAAAAACATCTCTTGAATTACAATGACACATCAAAAAATAAAATGGATGGGGGGGTTTCATTACAAGAATGGAGAGCGTGCGTGTTATTGTGTCTGGGAGATAAGACCGGGGAACGTCCTCCCATACATTGTCTCTGTGTTGTCAGATCAAGCTTTTAGGCAAAATACTCAGCATTGTCCTGTTTGTCTCGCTGACTCGTGTTCTGTGGTTGGCGCGTCCTGTTCATAATGGTGAAACAAGGGATGGGGGGTATTCTTTTAATCTCGGGGGGGCCCGCTCACATTGGCAGGGCCCAGAAAAACCTGGAGCAAATCCAACCAAACACTCGTGTATCGAAAGGAAGTCATGTTTTTATTCTATTATTACATTTTTTTTTCTTTAATTTTGTTACATTTTAATTCTTCCTCTCCTTCCTCTGTAAACTTTACTTTCATCTGTTATTTTCTTTCCTTCCATTCTTCTCTCTCTTTTTTTTATCTCCCTTCCCTTTCCACCCCTTTTGTTTTCCTTTTTTTCCCCCTTTCCTTTTCCCATTTCACCCTTCTATTCTTTTCCTTCCTTTTCCCATTTCATCCTTCCAGGCTCTTCCTTTTTCTTCCTTCCTTTTCCCATTTCATCCTTCCAGGCTCTTCCTTTTTCTTCCTTCCTTTTCCCATTTCATCCTTCCAGGCTCTTCCTTCCTTTTCCCCATTTCATCCTTCCAGGCTCTTCCTTCCTTTTCCCCATTTCATCCTTCCATTCTTTTCCTTTCCTTTTTTCCCTTCCTTTTCCCATTTCATCCTCCATTCTCTTCCTTTTTCTTCCTTCCTTCCATTCTTTTCCTTTCTCCTTTCTTCATTGTTTCTCTCTGTTTTCCCTTTTTTCGCACCAATTTTTGCCACCACTACCTTTCTTTCTTTACTTCCCTTCCATTTTCCTTTCTCTACCTTCCTCTCTTTTACTTTCTATGCCTTCATTTTTCTTCATTTCTTTTTCTTGTCTCCCTTTTTCTTCTCCCTAGTTTTCCCATCTATCCTTCCCCTTCCTTCTTTTTTTTTTCACCCAGCATCCTAAGTTGCTAGGCAGCAGGCAGTTCCTGCCGCCCAACATCCTAGGTTGCTAGGACGCGGGCGGCTCCTGCCGCCCGACATCCCAGGTTGCTAGGACACGGGCGGTTCCTGCCACCCGACATCCCAGGTTGCTAGGACGCAGGCGGCTCCTGCCACCTGACATCCCAGGTTGCTAGGACGCAGGCGGCTCCTGCCACCCAACATCCCAGGTTGCTAGGATGCAGGCAGTTCCTGCCAGCCAAAATCCTAGGTTGCTAAGACGCAGGCGGCTCCTTCCAACTAAAATCCTAGGTTTCTAGGACACAGGTGGCTTCACCCAACCAACATACTAGGTTCCTAGGACACAGGCAGCTCCTTCCCTTGACACCAACAATAAGGTACTATACTTCCCACTGACACAAATGATGGGACCTTATTCCTTTCCTTGACACCAATGAAATGGCACTATGCCTCCCACTGACACCAATGATGGGGCACTATTTCTTCAAAACAATGAGGCAACATCTCACACCAATGATGGGGGCGATATACCTCCCACTGACACCAATGATGGGGGCGATATACCTCCCACTGACACCAACAGGGCACTATTCCTCCCACTGACACAACAATGGGGTGCGATCTTCCCTCTAATACCAAAGATGTATTGTTTAATCCCAGTGATGCTGAGCCACAGCCCGGCCCCCCTGGAGTCTGAAGGCCTGTAAACTGGCCCTTTGTTTAGAAAGTTTGGAGACCCCTGTCCTAGCGGCAGGAGAAGCAATCAAACTCTAAGCCTGTGAAGCTCTGAACAGACCGAACTGCACAATATCTGCTCCGGTGATTGTAACAGAAGTCCAAAAAAATGAATTTACTTAACCTAACCAGCGGGGGGGGGGGGGGGGTTTACAACGTGTTTTGTAATGCACGGTGCACCATGCATTGTGGTGCACGGCAATGCATGCCCATTGGTAAGTGCCATTAACCCCCCTGGCGGTATTCCCGAGTGTAGCTCGGCGTAAAGTTTCAGCACCACAAGCGGTAACCCCCCCCCCCCCCGAGCTACACTCAGGAATACACTGCAGCGTTGCTCCGGGATCTCTTCTTCACTTACCTTGTCCTGCGCTCCCGCGATGTCCCTCCTGCAGTGTCCCCTGTAATGTCCTCCGGCCGATGCCGGCATCCATCTTCCGGGTTCCTTTCCCTGCGACGTCGGGACGTACGGGGGGACGGAACTGGCGGGAAATTTTAAAAGTGACATTCACTAAATACACTAAAATCACATAGTATAACATTCCTGTATCAACCCATTTCACATACATTTTGTCCCGAGTGCTTTGTCCGGCGCCCTGCCTGCATTTTTACCGCCCTTTCTGCCTGGAAACTAAGAAACGTCCATGGCGTCCAAAAAGCGTCCCTTTAGGTCAGACTCTGTTTTTAGACCGGCTAGAGAACAGCGATAGTAAATCAGAACCACTTGCAGAATTGAGTGATAATGATTGGTGGGGGAAATTCCTCATCAGACACTGAAAACGATTCTGCGACTGAGCTCAGCGATGTGCGAACTTGGCTCTATATTTCACATTTCAGTGTTTTTGGTTTGATTATATTATTGAATTACATTTATTATTATTATATTATTATTTTTTATGATTATTTATTATATTATAATTTATGATTTCGTGTTTCAAATTTCCACCCCTTCCAGCCCAAGACAATTTCACTCCCCTTCCAGTCCGGACACT